AAAAAAAAAAAAAAAAAAAAAGGACTGATCACAGACCTGGTACAAAATGGGGACATTTGATAGTGTTCACTCTCCTTCCCCCCACCACACACCTCCTTCTGCACGTCTGGCTGGGTTCTGGGGGTGCCTAGAGGGAAACAGGACTCCCTGCCTCAGGGAGTTCACAGTCCCATGACACTGCCTGGCAGTCAGGGCTCTGCTGAGGTGGTGCTGAGGGACACGAGTGAGCATCTCATAACCTGGTCCCCCATGCAGCCCAGGCCTTGTTTAGCCTCTCAACTAGAGCGTACACACAAAACTGGCTGCATCAGCAAGAGCTGATTCCAGCATCTTCTTGGCTCAAAATAGGAAAAGGTTGGGTACTTTCAGATTTCTGCAAATACTTATATATTCCTCCTATCTGCCTTTCCCACACCACTGGGGACCCAGGAATCTTGCACCCAGCCCACTTCAGGGTTCCCCCACCTCCAGTGGCATATCAGAGCACAGATCTAGAATCAGGCCGTCTTGCGGAACTCTTGCCCCTGCATCTAGCATCTTTCCACTCAAAGTGGTCCACGGACCAGCAGGTAGTTAGAAACACAGGCTCTCAACCGTATCCACTTCCGCCACCCGCATCTATGAAATCAGAATCTTTTCTTTAAAAAGATCCCCCAGTGATTTGGGTGCACACATTAAAGTTTCAGAAGCTCTGATCTTGGAGACCTTGGCAAATCAGCCAAACTCTCTGAACCTCAGTTTCCTCATCTGTAGAATGGGGAGATAATAATAATACCTACCCCACAGGGTAGTTGTGAGAATTCGACTAGGTAGAGCATGTTAAGTAGTGCCTGCAGCATACTGAGTGCTCCTGAACTGTGGGTAACACCCACTCCTGCCCCAGAGATGTGCACACAGCAGGGAGTGGGGCAGGGGTTATACAGACAGGTGGGGGGTATGGGGGGAAGGAGAGGAGGGCAGGGACAAGTGAGGAATTAAGAGGCAGTAGTAGATGGCCAGGTGTGGTGGTTTATGCCTGTAATCCCAGCACTTTGGGAGGCCAAGGTGGGAGGTTCGCCTGAGGCCAGGAGTTTGGACCAGCCTGGGCAACATAGCGAGACTCTATCTCTACAAAAACTTTTAAGAACTATCTGGGCGTGGTGGTGGGCACCTGTAGTCCCAGCTACTGGGGAGGCTGAGGCAGGAAGATTGCTTGAGCTCAGGAGGCTGTAATGAGCTAAGATCATGCCACTGCACTCCAGCCAGGCAACAGAGTGAGGTCCCGTCTCAAAAAATTAAAAAAAAACCCCAACAACAACAAAGAAATAGGCAGCAGATATAGAGAAGAAAGGTTGAGGAAGGCACAGAGAAATGGAGCAGAAGGGAAGGAGGAATAGGGGAAAAGGAAGGGACAGGCATTGGAGTACATCCGTCTCATTTCATCTAGGCTAGACTGGGGCGAGCGCTGGGTCCTGAGATGGGGTAGGCTTGGAGTCAGTGGTGCCAACAGTGGGTGGTACGAACAGCTTGAGCCTTGCATCTGGAGGAGTTCCACCTCTCCCATTCCCTAGCTGTGTGACTTTGGGCAAATTACTTCACCTCTCTGAGTTGCAGTTTCCTCTTTTTTAATAACTGGGGTAACTAAACCTACCTGATACCTGAGTTGCTGAGTGGATGAAATGGGGCAGCAGATGCCGCTACGTTCTGTAAACTCCAAGGTACTTTCTTTCTTATGCACGTGTTTTTGTCTTCGGAATGGTAGGCAGGGTAGCTGGGTGACAGAAGAACTGCGTGAAGAAAGCATCAGGGCTTCAGTCCCTGCAGCACTGCGGCAGGGTGGTCAACCCAGGAGGCGACAGCGGACTTAACCTCGTTCCGCCAGATGTCTCAGGAGGACCCTCGGTTCTCAGAACTCTGCACGTTCACTATCCTCAACCCGGCCTCTCCCTGCCACACGCTCCCTCCAAAGCCAGGATATCTTTTCCCTTTAACACCGCCTCAAGCCATCTCTCCCAGCTTTTACCAGCGTGAAAATGTTCCCAAGGAGAGGGGCGGGGGAGCGCGCGAGAGTGATTGAGTGCGCCGACCCCGCGCCCCCAGGGAAGGTGCTGCCTGTGATGGGTTTGACCCAGGGGCTCGTCTCTGTGGGGTGAGCCTGGCAGGGGGGAACTAGGACCCGCCTCTCCCGCAACCTCTTCCCCACCCGTGCCGCTGCGCAACTCCTGGTGGCAGCTAAATCCCCGGCCAGAGCCTCGGCTTCCACCTCCGGGGCGTCAGCGCCATCTGCTGTCCACTCCGGGAACTCCCCGCAGAGGAAGGGACGCTGGGCTTCAGCGCTTGTGCCCCACACTGGGCCAGGTGCTGGCGACAACAGACAGGCTCGCTGACTGCTCCTGTGCCGCAGACACTCTGATGGGGGGAGACGGACAATGGACAGGAGGCACACAGATGGGCAAGATCATCTCAGGTCTTGATAAGTACTTTGAGCAAACTAGTAAACACGCGGGTGGGAGGAGGGTGACACTGTGGACGTGGGTGTGTGGTGTATGAGTGTAACACTTAAGCTGTGGCTTCAAAGATGGACAGCTATCCATGCCAAGAGCTTGTGAGTGAGGGGGACATTCTAGAAGAGGGTACAATAGCAATAGAAGCCAGAGGAGGAAAGGAGTCCAGATGTTTCAATTTGTCACAGAGATTTGGGTGGGGTGAGGCGTGGCAGGAAAGGCAGGGAAGGGTCACATCACAGGGAGACTTTCAGGCTAGGGAAGGAGTGTGACTTCATTCTCTGGGAAATAGGAAGCCATTGTTGGGTTTTAAGCCAGGGGAATGGCTGGATTTTCTCTAAGCCCTTTGACTGCTGTGGGGGAGGGGCGAGGACAGGGACCGTCAGGTAGAGGTGATGGTGAGAGGGGGCTCTCGCTGGGGGCTTGAGGAAAGGGGGTGGATTCTAACTGCATTTCGGAAGAAGCCCAGGACTAGCTGTTGGATTGCATGTGGGGTGAGGGTGAGGGAGAGGGAGATTTCAGGGATTCTGACTTGAGAAACGGGGTAGACCCTTTACTCAGAGGAGGAGAATGGTGGCGGGGGCGGGGGACGTAATTTGGGAGGGTATCAAGAGTTCTGCTATTGGTATGTTGTTCAGTCGGAGATGCCTTTGCATTGTCTAAGGGAGGATGTCGGTAGAAAAGATGGAACTCAGGGGAGAGGCAGGGCTGTAAATTGGTTGCTGGGATATGGGACAGGGATGTCCAGGCAGGTTCAGTGGCCCTCAGGGAGGACAGGGAAACTTGGAGTTGTCTTAGACTCTCCTTCCATCTCCCCTCCTGCTCTCACCCCCACCCCAGGTCTATACTCGCTATGGGAAGTGTTACACCTTCAACGCCGACCCGCAGAGCCCACTGCCCAGCCGGGCAGGGGGCATGGGCAGTGGCCTGGAGATCATGCTGGACATTCAGCAGGAGGAATACTTGCCCATCTGGAGGGAGACAAGTACGCAGGCGGGAAAGGGACAAGGGCCAACCTGGGGACTCGGGCCTGGGCCCTCTGTCCGGGGTGGGTTTCCAAAGGTCCTCATCTCTGCTGTGCAGATGAGACGTCGTTTGAGGCAGGCATCCGGGTGCAGATCCACAGCCAGGAGGAGCCACCCTACATCCACCAGCTGGGGTTTGGGGTTTCTCCAGGCTTCCAGACCTTTGTGTCCTGCCAGGAACAGCGGGTGAGCACCTCCAGCTGGACCCTGGGTTGGGCACAGAGCCACATCTTAGGGCTCAGAGGGGATGCTGACCAGACCTTCCCCCCGAAGCTCACAGCCCACCAGCTAGCTGTGTGGACTTTTCTGGGGCTGTGGACACTGAAGGGCTGGGTGGGACTCCTGGGCGTGACCTCATCATGCCCCACCTCTGCAGCTGACCTATCTGCCCCAGCCCTGGGGCAACTGCCGGGCAGAGAGCGAACTCAGGGAGCCTGAGCTTCAGGGCTACTCGGCCTACAGCGTGTCTGCCTGCCGGCTGCGCTGTGAGAAGGAGGCCGTACTTCAGCGCTGCCACTGCCGGATGGTGCACATGCCAGGTGGGCACCCTACCCCCAGCCAGCTCTCCATGCCACCCTGCCAGACTCCAGAGCCTCCAGAGGCAGGGCACTGCTCATGTGCATAGGCAGAGTGCATGTGTACAACATGTGTGTGTGTGTCTACATCTGTGTGAGTGTGTGTGTGTATGTTTTTGGGATTTTATATGTTTTCACATATGCATTGGGAATGCAGGCACGCATATGCTTGTATGCATGTTAATATGTGTTTGTGTATGCATGTGCTTATGTGCATCTGTGCTTGTATATTTGTCAGGGTTTGTGTGCATTTGCTCAAACACATGTATACAAACGTGTGTGTGCATACAAGTGTGCATATGTTTTTGTGCATATATGCATGTATGCATTTTCATGCTTATATGTATGAGTGTATAAATTAATCTGTATGAGCAAACATGCATATTTGTGTGCATTGGGTATGTGGTGGAGGAGAGAGGAAGGATTGTAGATTCCAGGAATAATTTTCTCTCCTTTCAGGCAATGAGACCATCTGCCCGCCAAATATCTACATCGAGTGTGCCGACCACATCCTGGGTCCGTGCTGCCTTCCCCCTTCCCTGCCTCTCCAGCGCCCTCTGCCTGTCTCTGTCTACCTTCTCACTGTCTTGACTCCTCTCCTCCCAATCTCTCCCTGGAGGGTTCTTCCTGGGGGTTGAGCCTTATCCCATACTTCAGTGGGGGGTCTTGAGGACCTCTGCAGGTGCAGACACTGGGTAAGTGGAGGTAGCAGGGTGGGGGATTGCAGAGAAGCCAGGACTGGGAGTGAAGGGCTGGGCTGCTCATCTTGATTCAGCTAATGAGCTCACCCTTGCTGAAAGAGTGAAATGACTTCTCTCTTGGTCTCAGGAAAAATGCATTGGTGGCTAGTGATGTGGGTAAGGCAAACTCCATCTGCCCACAGGTCTCACCTGATCTCCAACTCATCCATCCATCCATCCATTCATTGATCCATTCATGCAGACCTTTGCAGCCTGCGCTGGGTGCTGGAGGTGAGAAGGTGAGAGTGGGAGCAAGAGCGCTACCCTTGCAGAGCTCACAGCCCAGAAGGGCTGTGGACAGGCGTTATAACACGGTGTGTCAGCTCTTGGATAGGGGAACCCCAGGGGTGCCACGAGGCCCCAACCTGGGAGATCAGGGAAGCTTCCCAGAGGAAATGACATATTAGCTGAGGCTTAAAGGTGCATAAGAGTCAGCCAGGTGCAAAGGAGGACATGTGCTAAAGACCTTGTGGCCAGACAGCGTGTGCTGTGTCTGGGGCACTGAAAGGTCAGTGTGGCTGGAGGGCAGAGAACAGGGAGGGAGTGGAAAGAGTGGAGGAGGGGCCTCAGGCAAGACGATGAGTCTGATGAGAAGTGGGGAATGGTATAGGAGGGAAGGAGGACTTGAAGCCGGGGCCTGGCCGGGTGCTCACTGAAGTAATCCAGATGGGCTGGGGCCCTGGGGATGGGTTTGAGAAGCTGGGCAGCAGAATCCCACATCCAGACCTCTGTTTCCTATGCTACCTGCATCTGTCAAAGAGGTAATTGAATAGTGTTCAATGAAGGAACAGATTATGTGAGCAGGGGTTAGGGGACCACAAGGCATGGTGAGAGTCCACAGAGCTAGCAACACCAGGGAGCCTTTGCCCCTGTACCCCAAGGCCTGCAGGAGTAGAGAAGGGGGGCTCTGTGCAACTCAGAGAGAGACCTGTGCATCTGAGAGGGCTGGCTGATAGCAGCGTGGCTGGAGGAATGCAGTGAGGAAGCCGAGGGAAGAAATACTCTGGCATCTCTCCCCTCCCACCCTCTGATCCTGCTGGGGCCTCCTGAACCCAACCCGAAGCCAGAGGACAGGGAGCCTAGGTGATGTATTTGGTAGAGATCAGGATCCCGATCTGGGGCCCAGAGCAAGGTGGAGGAGGGAGGAGAGTGGATCTGAAGGGGCAAGCAGAGAAAACCTAGCACACCAAGCGTGTGAATCCTGTCTGTCCATTTGTTCTTCTGTCCATCTGCCTATTGATCTGTCAACCTGTCCATCCACCCATCCATCCCAGCATCCTTTCCACGCCTCCTTGTGTGTCTGAGGCCTCATGTAGTCGATTAGCTCCAGTGGATGGGCTCTGCCCTTCTGAGCCATGAGGACCTCCCTGTCCCAGGGGGCTGGGAGGGTGCTGGGGGGCGGTTCTACCTACACCTGCTTTTTTGGGTTGTCTGAAGCTGGCCCAGGAGGGGACCGCCAGCCAGTCTCCTCTAGGAAGTGCCACGGCTGGCCAGTAAAGGCCCTTGTGTGGACGTGCCTGTGCCTCCTCCCTGCAGCTCGTGGGCCTTTGGACCCCCCTGCCCTATTCCCACTGCAGTTGGTGCCTCTGTGTTGCAGACTCCCTGGGTGGGGGCTCCGAGGGCCCGTGTTTCTGCCCTACCCCCTGCAACCTGACACGCTACGGGAAGGAAATCTCCATGGTCAAGATCCCCAACAGAGGCTCAGCCCGGTACCTGGCAAGGAAGTACAACCGCAACGAGACCTACATACGGTGTGTGTGTGCTCGCGCCTGGGCACGGTGGAGACTGGAACTGAGCTGCATCTTTGTTCAGGATGAGCTCTCTGCCGGGAATGCCTTTCACACTTCCTGTCTTCTAACTAACCCCCACCCATCGTGTGTCTCCACCTCCAAGGAGGCACTTCCTGGTCCAAACACCTCATCTGAGTTCCCACAGCACACTGTACATATCTCTGTCACTCCATATGCCCCATTGTTTTAGATGCCTTTGTTTATGTGTCTTTCTCCCCAGCAACCTGGGAGCCATTAAATGCTCGATAGTGAGTGTGCGGTGTGGAGGGAAGGCACAGGATGGGGTGGGAGGGGCACAGGTCCTGCAGGCGGAGGCAGCAGGGGCCATGCTGAGCCCTGGTCTGACACCCTGCAGCCATTCAATGGTGCCCGCTGCTGGGTGCTGTGGGGACAGATGATTACAACACAAAACCCATGGCACGATTTGTGAATGAGCCCATGTTTGATGGTGCAGTATGGATTCTCAGGCCATGGTGTGGGAGCACAAACAAGGGGGCGTGGGCTGTTCCCCCTCTGAGGACCCTGGGTTTGGATCCCTAAGAGGAGGAGAGAGGGGAGGCATCCCAGTTAGAGACCTGAGGGATGGTGCAGTCTGAGCAGGAGGTCACTGGAGAGCAGCAGCAAAGAAAGCAACTTGGATAAGAAGGTGCAGTGGGACAGGGCACAGGTGGCTTTGAAAGTGAGGAATTTTGGAGTGGACCAATGGGCAGTAGGGAGCCACTGAAGGTTCTAGAGAGGCATAATGACAAGGCAAAGTGAACACTATCTGCTGCTTCAGAGGAGGCAGGAGGGAATCCTTCAGGAGTTTCATTTTGCTGTCCTGGCCCTTTGCTACCTACCCCTCAAAATAAGAAGCTAACACGCACCCGGGACCTCTTCCCCTCACAGCCTTGGGAACCCGAGGGCATGGCCACAGCTTCTCAGGGCAGGGCGTCTCAGATCAGGATGCCTGCCAGCTGCCTCCTAGGAGGAACGGCCCTGAGCAGCTCCACAGGGATACACCGCTTCCTGTCTCCACAGAGAGAACTTCCTGGTGCTAGACGTCTTTTTCGAGGCCCTGACCTCTGAAGCCATGGAGCAGCGAGCAGCCTATGGCCTGTCAGCCCTGCTGGGTGAGACACGGCCCCTGCCTGCCTGCAGCATGCGCCGGGTGGGCCGGCCTGGCCTTCCTCCTCTGACCCTGCTCTCCTGCCCCCAGGAGACCTCGGGGGACAGATGGGCCTGTTCATCGGGGCCAGCGTCCTCACGCTGTTGGAGATCCTGGACTACATCTATGAGGCAAGGGCCCCAGCCAGGAGGTGGGGCTGTGGGAGAAGCAGAGGGGGCGGCAGCGGGGGCGGCACCGGCGCCCTGCTGGGGCTGGTCTGGCTGCCCTGACTGCCTGGAAGGCCTTGAGGACCCTGAGGAGCCAGGCATGGGGGGATGGGCAGGCAGGAGGGTTACTGGGGGTTTGCTGTGGCAGCGAGTCCTCTTAGCTGGGCCTGGGAAGGCCTTTCCTTCTCAACCAAATTTCCTGAGCCCACTGCTGTCCCCCACCCTGAACCCCAAGGTGTCCTGGGACAGACTGAAGCGGGTATGGCGGCGACCCAAGACCCCCCTGCGGACCTCCGCTGGGGGCATCTCCACCTTGGGGCTGCAGGAGCTGAAGGAGCAGGTGAGGACAAGCTCTGCGGAGTGCGAAGCCAGCACCCTTTCCCTGGGGCAGGGTACCCTATTCTGGACTAGCCTGCGGAAGGGGACCCTGAGTGCTCCAGGAGCCTCTGTCCCAGGGGTCAAGGAAAGGCTGGCTGAGTCGGGCTGGGGGCACCACTTGAGCTCTCGCTGCCCTACTCTCTCTTCATCTTGCAGAGTCCCTGCCCAGGCCGGGGCTGTGCTGAGGGCACGGGGGCCAGCAGCCTGCTCCCCAACCACCACCACCCCCATGGCCCCCCAGGAGGCCTCTTTGAAGACTTTGCTTGCTAGAATGGTGCTGTGTCTGAGAGGACCCAGGAATCTGGGACCCCTCCCCAGATCCCCAGCAAATTCTCCTCCTGCTCCTGAGACAGAGGCTGAGGGGAGGGGTGGTGCTCCCTGGGAGGGCCAGGACTCTGTTCCGGCTCTCATCCTACCCTGGTGTCAGCTGCTTTGCACAAGGGTCTTTATTATCCCCCACCCCCAGCTGGTGCCCAGGGAGGGCTGGAGACCAGACCATGGTCCCCTGTGGAGGGCAAGGGAGGGAAGGAGAGAGGGAGGTGGAGGATAGAACCCACCCCAGCAGGGGTGGGACCCTCTGTACATTTGTATATATTTAGGGAGGACTGGGTGGGGGTGGGATACAGATGTAGAAGGTGGGTGGGGCTACAAGGGTGGGTGATTCAGGCGCAGCCAGGGTCCCAGCCCAAATGTCAGCGGGAGATGGGGAGCCCCCAGGACTCAGGAGTGCTGGGCTGGTCCTACTTCCTGCCCCTTTCCGGACCCAGCTCCCCTCTTGGCAGGGGGAGTGGGTAGCCCAGCAGGCCTGGCCCAGCTCCCAGTTCCCCCTGCACCAACCCCGCCCCCAGAGTCCCTCCACAGGGAGCGGGCAGGAGACCTTTCAGACCTTGGCTAAGCTGGAGGCGGGGAAGGGAGCCTTCTCAGGCCTGTCTCCCTCCGGTCTGATTTTATAAAGTGCTGACAAAATTGGGAATAAAGAGGCATAAAGAATTCTGTGTATGTGTGACCAAGCACGTGCCAGGGGCTGGGGAGGGGCTGGGCACATGCATGACTTGGTCTGGGGTGAAAGGAAATGCAGGCCCCAGCAGGGACAAGGGAAGCCTCCATGGGCAGTCGACCCTCCCCCGCATGCTCACTTTCAAAGCCTCAGAATCACTAGTCCACACTCAGCCGGTTTATTAAAGGCAGGCAGCTTCATCAGGGGCCCAGAACAGAAAAGTTGGGAGATGCCCCCCTCCTCCCTCAGCTCCCCCTTCCTCAACAACTCATCTACAGCCCAGCCCCCAGGGCCCGACCCCTGAGGCGAGGCTGGTGTCAGGCAGACTGTACTGCATAAATATACGGAGGCCACAGCCCGAATCAGCAGTGTCAAGGGGGCAGGGAGACTGGGTTTGGGGTGAAAAGGGGGTGGTTCTGGGGGCATCTCCCCCAGGGCTTGTCCTGAGCCCAAGGACCCACAAAGCCAGAAAGAGGGGACCAGTGGGCTGTCCTGGGGGCTGAGGCTATGGCCAGCCCTGTCCGGCGAGGCTGGCAGGTGGCTCTGGTTGTTGGGGCGGACTGGGGCGGGGTGCGGCTGTGCCAGGGCTCAGGGGCACAGGGCGGGATCAAGTGCTGTTGCCCTGCTCCTGCTCAAAGAGCAGCATGGCCAGCTGGGTTCGGGAGCCGAGGCCCTCGAGCATGCTCTGGCGGCAGCGGTGGTACAAGTCCTCGCTGAGCCGTGCGCTGCATGTCTGGACCCGGTAGCGCTGCAGCAGTGCCGGCTCCACTGCCCGCAGCACGTGCAGGCCAGAGAAGCGCAGGAACAGCTCATACACATCCAGGCTCTCCAGCAGCTCCTCCTCCTGCTCCGAGGCTGCTGCTAGCCGGCCTCGGGCTGCCACATAGTCGGAGTTGTAGAAGCAGGCCTCGCTGGCCGCCTGGCGATCAAAGTGGCCTGTGTCTCGGCCCAGCTCCGGTGGCCCAGGCCCTTGTGGTGGGGCCACGGCTGGGTGGAAGGCTTGGAAGTGCATAGGGAAGAAGGCCTGCCAACCGGAGATGGCATGCATGCGGCAACGGTTCAGGAAGTCAGGCGTGAGCACCGTGTCTGGCCCGGCCAGCAGGAACAATGTGTCCAGCGGGTGCTTCTTGGAGAGCAGATCCATGAGGCGCAGCGGTGAGGGTGCGGCTGTCTGCACACTGAGCCATGGCACCCGGGCACCGGGGAAACGCCGCTCCAGCTCTGCCACGTGGGCCTTGACAGGTGCGAAGATGTCTGCATGCGCCGCCCGCTGGGCCTGGCGTGGCTCATACAGTAGCAGCAGGGTCAGGGCTGCCGCAGCATCGCCTGGCTCCAGTGCTGCAGTGGCAAAGGCCTCCAGGAAGCCAGGGGCCAGGTCACGCTCAGCAGCAGCCAGAGGCAGCAGCACAGTGAGACGTGAGGCCTCAGTGACGTAGGGTACAGGCAAGATTTCCACGCGGCTCAGCGGCCGGAGCAGCTGCACCCGGCGGGTGAGGGGCCGCCGGCCACCCTGGGGAGTCAGGGCCTCCAGCTGCAAGTCCAGCGTGTACTCCATACCGCGGGCTGGATCAAAGCGTCGGTACCCATTGACCAGCTGCTGCTTCTGGAGCCGCAGGGCTGGGTGGTAGCGGCGGTTGAGCTCCTCCAGGGCTGCCCCCAGAACATCGGCCATGTCAGCCCGGTCAGCCCCACGCAGTGGGCAGCGAGGCGAGCCATCAGCGCAGGAGAAAGCATGCTGCTCCGTGAAGTAGTCCCAGCGCAGCACCTCGAAGCGGGAGGCCGGGCGGGATGGTGCCGGGATGCCCACAGGCCAGGCAGCTGCCCTCTCCCCGTCAGCGGCCAGACGGCTGGTGTTCTGTATCTCCCGCTGTGTCAGAGAAACAGGCCATGAGCAAGGGAGAGACCAGAGAGGCCAGCACACAGCTGGGGGATGAGGTAGGCCACAGGTGCCACTCAGGATGGGTCTCCAGTCCCCTGCCAACCTCTGCCTACTCAGAGCCCCCACCTTTCCTTTCCCCAGATGGAGGCAGCCTAAGAATTAAAAGGAAGGTTTCTGGAGGCTTCTTGGAGATTGTGGAAACAGACAGGGGCCCGGAAGTCGGTTTGTTCTGTGATTTCGGCACTTTTTTCTTTCTCTGGGATCTCTGAGACCTCTCATATCCTGTTCCCCTCACCACCTCTTCTCTGTCCCCCAGCCCCAGGCCCGGACCATACCTGTAACTCCTGGATCTCCTGGTACGTGCGTTCCAGCTCAGCTCGGGCAAAAGCCTTGTGCAGCTGGTACATGTGCACAGGGTCACGCACAGGGTAGGCTGTCAGGGCACTGCGGAAACGAGGGTCCCTCTCCTGAACGGGCTCCTCAGGGTTCAGCTCCAGATAGCTATAGTGCACCCCCTGGGGAGAGGAAGGGAAGGGGTCCACAATGGGATGGGATTGCCTTCCCCCTTGTCTCACAGAGAGTATCTCATCTCCTGTTCCTACGACCTGTGGTGGACTCGGAGTCACATTTCTGTGGGTTTAAATCTACCTCAACCAGGTGTGACTTTGTGTGACCTTGGGCAAGTGTCTGCTAGCTCATCTGTGAAATGGCATGCATCCTGTTTCAGATCTGTCCAGGGGCTCAAATAAAATAATAACTAACATTGAATGCCTACTCTATGTAAGGCTCCCTTATTTTCTCTGATCCTTATAACAACTCTGAGCAATAATTATTTCCTTTAGCATGGATGAGGACACTGGTGCTCAGGAGATTTAGTAATTTACCCAGGGTGACAGGGATAGAAAATGACAGAATTGGCATGGAAACTGAGGCCTGTATCTCCACCACCACTCCTTTGCCTCTCAGGGGGAAGTGCACAAGCTCAGATAGGAAGCACCAGTGGGGTGGCTTATCATCCCACCTCATGGTCGCCAGTGCAGCCCACCCCCGTGGCATCGAGAATGCAGCGTCCCAGCCACTCGTCGGGGTGTGCACTGACGATGTCGTTGCGGCAGCCTTCCAGGTGGGGACGCAGCTGCTGCAGCAGCGTGCGCGACAGCAGCACCCCAAAGCCACCGTGGCAGTAACGGCCTGGCGTGGGCTCTCCGCCAATGAAGTCCTGGGGCCGGCCCAGATAGAGGTGGGCAGCGGAGGCCAGGCTGAGACGGCCAGTTAGGCGTGCCAGTCCGTGCGCCTCGGTGTAGGTGGCGTCAGGCACCAGGAAGAACCAGTCAAAGTCATCGCCGTGCTGCTCCAGTAGGTGGCGCAGCGCCAGGTGCAGGTGCCCGATGGGACGCTCCTCGCCCAGGGTCACCACGGCCATGCCAGGTGGTGCCCGGCGACCCCGTGCGCCTGTCAGGAACACCACACGCTCTAGTCGGTGCCCCAGCGTGCGGTTCACGGCCACACCCAGCGTGGGCAACGTGGACTGTGAGGTCAGCACTGCCACAAGCAGCCTCTGCCTGATGCCCAGCTCCGTGCTGATATAGCGGGTCCTGAGGGAGAGGAAGGTAGAAGGTTATCGAAGAGAAAACAGGGCAGGCAAGGGACCGCACACACAGACTCCGGCAGGTCATGTCTTCTCTGCGTCTTTTTTCTCACCTATGAATAGGATAAAAACAAAACCTCTCTCCCAGGGGTCATAAGCATTTAAGTAAAATATTCGTCTTACCTACACAGTGCTTTGCATTTGGAGGATGGCAATATCCATACAGATATGAGATAAATTGTGGGTCTGATTCCCGGTTTCACTACTTAGTAGTTGTGTCCTTGAACATGTTATTTAACCTGAGCCATTTGTAAAATGGGACTGATTGTGTCTATTTAAAGCACCTAGGCAAATGCCTGACACACCATGTACTTATTTCTACATAAATATGCCGCGGTATCACAAATATCTCACATAAATGATATAAAGGAATGTATGGCATAGTAATGAGTACGTTTGGGGGTGCAAACTGGGACTCAGGGGTTCTAGTAACTTACCTTTACCAGGCAGAGGTAAGTTGCAAAACTGGAATTTGAACCCTGTGTTACTTAGAAATTATTTCAAGTCATCAGCAGAGATGTAAATGGGATGAGTGCATTCCTCCTTCCCCCACTGCACCCAGAGGTGGCCCTTGTAACCCACTCAGGAACGAGATACAGGGAAATCCTAGTTCTCTCCTTTCTCTTTCCCTCTCTCTATAAACCGACTTTATATACCAGTCACTTCTCTAACCCCAGCGGCCCAGCCAAGAAGCTTAGAGGATTTTGGGGGGACCATCAGATCGAGCTGGTTTAGGACAGAGGCTGGCAAGTTTAGCCCAGGCCGGGATGGGGTCCAGAAAAAGGTCAGACTGGCCCCACAGCTCCCGGGAAAGCAGGGCCATCGGAAGTTATCGCGGCCCAAAGACTTCCTGGCCGGCCAGCCCCTTCCTTCCGGAGCCCGACCCAGCCTCCGGCGGCCCTGCGCGCACGTCCCAGCCGGTGCTCTAGAGGGTGGAGGGGGCGTAGCGGATCACTACCTGACGGCCTTTTTGGCGGCCTGGCCGGGCTGTGCGGGATGGTAGGGCAAGACACGCGGCTCCCAGTTCTCCGCGCCGGCCCCGGGCCTCTCGCGCTCCGCTCCGGGCTGCACCGAGTTGGGCCGGCGCGCCGCGTTCGTGTTGCCGCGCGGCGGCAGCTCAGAGTCTCCAGATTGGGGCGGGCCTGGGCCGCACGGCTCCTCCACCCAGGTGACACTGAGCAGGCTCAGAGTGAAGCCCAGGGAGATGCCCACGGCCACGGGCCCTGCGGGCCGTAGCACAGACAGCAGCAGCGATGCCCGCATGGCGCCCGGACCGCGGGCCCCCGGCCCGGGCAAAGCCCCGGAGCAGCCAGAGGAGGATCCGAGGGGGCGGGACCGGGGAGGGGGCGGATCCGGAGGGCCCGGGCCCAGCGGGCGGACCCGCTCCCTCCCAGCCGAGCAGAGCCAGCGGCCCGAGCCGAATCCCCTGCGCCGCTCTCGGATCCCCCTCCAGCCGCTGCTCGGTTCTGTGCGGGGTTGCTGCGCTTGGCGCGGGAGCCGCAGCCGCTGCCGCCGCTGTCCGACGTGTCACTGCGAGGGCCCCGCCCCCGGGGTGGGGTCTAAGGTTCTAGCTACCGGAGAGGGAGGAGAAGGGGGAGGTTAAAGGGGAAGGACCCCCGGAAGTGCCCCCTCCTCAGTGCGAGAGAGGGAGACGCCGGGGCGGAGTCTCCTGCCTCCCCCTGGCGTGGTTGGTGCGTCCCGTGTGACGTCAGAAGCAGCCCGCCCCTGCCTGGATGGTGCGCCCTGAGTGACGTCAGAAGCAGAGGCCGGAGCTGTCCATCAGCACCAAAGGCCGCGGGCGGGCTCAGGGCATGGGGCCGCGGCTCTGGGGCGCCCTGAGCCCCTGCTCCTGCTCCTTCTCCTTTCCCTTCCCCAGGCCCAGTCCGAGTCCCCCGACGCAGCGGGACTGGAGTGCCAGCCAGTGTTGGAGGTGGAGCGGCGCCGCCGCCGCGCAGAGACTGTTCTCTCCGGCCCAGCGGCCCCCTTCCCCACACGGCGGACTTTCCGCGGACCCCAGTCACTTGGAGCCTCTGGAGCCCCAAAACCCCAGCCCATCCGGCCCCTGCACAGCCTCTTTCGCTCAGAAGCTCAGGTCGCCTCCAGCCCAGGTAAATCTTGGACAATCCCAGATTTATCCGCCCACAGATGAGTCTCTTGGCTACCACCTTCTCACGGGCTCACCTGCAACACACTACCCTCACCCCATCTCCCTGTGCCCCTTTTAACTTCATTCCAGTCCCCTCTAGCCCGACACTTTTGTCTCCCTTTCTCTCTGCCCTCCACCCCAGGGATGCTTCCAGAGCTGCATGATGTGGGCACCACTCCTTTGTCCACTGTGTCCTTGCTGAGTTCTCCCACTCCCACTCCCACCCCCATCCTGGTGAGGACCCAGGACTCCTCCTTGACACCAATTTCCCCTCTGTTAGGTTAACCTGGGAGGTTGACTCCCTTCCGTTCCCAGCACTATGCCGGGCACTGTGGCAACACTGCGGTTCCAACTGCTGCCCCCTGAGCCAGATGACACCTTCTGGGGTGCACCTTGTGAACAGCCCCTGGAGCGCAGGTACCAGGCACTGCCGGCGCTCGTCTGCATCATGTGCTGTTTGTTTGGAGTCGTCTACTGCTTCTTTGGTGAGATCCCCGTCTCATCCCTCACCTGGGCTTCCCGAGTTCTTTTTCTGGCCCCCCAAATCTTCTCTGAACCCCCCACCATCATTAATAACTATCTTTCTTTTCTCTTTTTTTCATCCCATTCATGTTCATAGATCATCTCTACTCTAGATTCTAGAGAACACAGGTTTTTAAATTAAACATGCTTGAGTTTGAACCTAGCTCTGCACTTACTAATTTTGATGATTTGGGTACATTAACTCGTCTGAACCTCAGTTTTGTCATCTGAACAATGGGAACAATGATATTTTCTCACATAGGGTTGTTATAAGAATTAATAGGCACTCAATAAATAGTAGCTATTGTAGTGAAGATGTGTTGGGTCCCTGTGCTAGATAGGCACTAAAAACACTTAGTAGGGTTATTAAACATGGTCCCTTACCACAGGACATATTGTCTGACAGTGGAGAGAGACTCCTGAACATTCACACCTATGATACATATTAGAGTGGGCGGGATGGTAGTCACACATATGGGGATCACCTCCAAGGAAGGCTGTGGTAATCAGAGCTGCTGTGAAATGTTGTACAGGATGGGTACCACACAGGGGAGCTCAGTTGAATAGGCGAGTGGGGGCTGAAATCCAGCTCATGCTCTACTTGACAAATTCTAGTCCTTGGCACAAGGGTGCTTTGTCTAGAGAAAGGCACCCCTTTTTCTAATTTTCACAAAGGTGCCATGTGGGATAGTGGCAGCATGGAGTAAATGCCCACTGACTCTATAGCAAGAGTTACAGAACCTCAGAGAGGAAAGTGAGCTTTATGGGCTGGGGGCCCGAGGAAAGCCTCCAAGAGGAGGGTTATAGGTAACTGGAATCAGTGGGGCAAAGGAGGCCAGGGGGGTTGGGTTCCAGGCTGGGCAGAGGTAGTGCAAGATGTGTGCTCTGCAGCCTCCATACCTCCCCCTAGAATGGGTGGGTAGATGGGAGCCAGATGGTCCCACCCATTCCTCCCCCAGACTCTGAGCTGAACAACTGCAGAGTAGGCAGGAAGAAGTGCCCGCTACAAGGGTTCAGGACACGTTCTGGGCCTCCAAGGAGTCTGTATCATCTCACCCCCTCCACTATCCATACCCACTCTCTCTGCATGTTGCTCAGTACAGCCCCATATTTCCTCTCCTGGGCTTGCCTGACAGCCTACCTCTCTTGGATGCCACTATTCCCAGGCTCTTAGACTCTGAGCCCTTGTCCATGCCCTACTCCTCTCTCTGACCTCAAAGCCTCTTGGACTCTGATACTTCCCCTAATTCCTGGAACAGAATCTCCTCTTTATTATCTTTCTCTTTGACTCTCCCTGACCCCTTGAACCTCCATCTCTGACTTCCATCTTCCCAACTGTTCAGGGTCTACACCTCCCTCACCCTTTCAGGTATCTCTAATGGGCCTAGTGGGCCTATAACTTCCTTATTTCTGAAACTCCAGAACCACTATTTCCCCTTCTTTGATTCCCTATCACCCCATATAAGCCCTAGTGACCTCCATGACCCCCACTACCTCATTACCTTTCATTCCTCTGACTCCCGCTATTACTCCTAGCTCTGATCCCCATAGCCTCATCATCTGATCACCCCTCCCCATACTGTGATCTCAATAATCCCTTTTTTTTTTTTTTTACCTCAGTGTTCCTCTCTCTCATAAACCCTTTAATACTCTCGATGATTCCATTTCTGTCAACCCTCCTGACCTGCAAAGACCTGGAACTCCTCCCCAATAACCCTGCGACTCTGTCCTTTGTAACCTTCCAATGATGCCCTATCTCTGAAGCCCTGTAACCCCTCAAAGACCTCATCTTTCTGGACCTGTGTGACCTCCATCACTCAAGTTCTTTCTGATTTCCAAATACCTCCTGTCTCTGAATAATCCCTCCCCAAAGTACCCAATGACTCTTTTTTGTTGTTGTTTTCTTTTGAGACAGGGTCTTACTCTGTTACCCAGGCTGGAGTGCAGCAGTGCAATCATAGCTCATTGTAGCCTCAAGCTCCTGGGCTCAAGTGATCCTCCTGCCTCAGCCTCCTGAGTAGCTGGGATTACAGGCATGTGCCACCACACCAGCTAATTTTTTT